CCTTTCCATTCAAGGACAGGCTCACCAGGAAAATGAAATCGGACCAACTTTGCACGACAATCATTATTAGCATAACAAGCTGCCAACCAATCAATACCCATAATGACATCGAAGTCTAGCATAACCAATTCAACTAAATCAACAGAGGTTGGACGGTCATTAATTAACACTGTACAACCTCGATAGACATGATTAGCTACAATAGAGNTAACTGGCGTAGACGCCTCAACTGACTGTGGCAACAACTCAGATCTCATGTCAAGCTTACCAGCAATAAATGGAGTAACATATGAAAATGTAGAGCTGATATCTATCAATGCATAAATGGCATGAAAATGTATTGTCAATATACCTGTGACAACATCTGGGGATGCCTCTAAATCCTGTCGGCCTGTGAGTGCATAAAAGCGGTTCTGGCCACCACTAGAACCTGAGGTGTCTCCTCCACCTCTCTCCCTACCACGTCCCTGAGTAGACTATGGAGCTGGTCGGGGAGCACGGACTGATGGCGAAGAGGCTGCGGTGGATCCTGAAGGCTGAGCTGGTGCATCTCTGCCTAACCCCGGGCACCGGCTAATAAAATGTCCTGTCTGCCCATAATGATAACATGCACTCGAACCCTGTCTACACTGCCCGGTGTGCAGCTTACCGCACTGAGTACATGGAGGACTAGGCTATCTCATTTGTGCAGAACACTCCTGTCGACGGCCCTCAGGCTGGCCTGAGCTCTGCCCCAATCCTGACTGAATATAACGATCAAACTGCTGGCCCTACATCTGTGGTGGGAAACTACCTGCTGACCGAGGTGGATATCAATGGAGTGGGGGCCTAAAATCACCTCATGTCTCCCTATAAGACCCCATAGTACGAGCCCTCTTACTCTGCTCCCTATCCCTACGAGTATCACGAATCCGACGGGAAAGGTCCTCTGTAGTCTGAGCGAAAGCCTATATCTGGGAAATATCTACATCATCCGATAAGGATGCTACCCTACAGTCCCTAATCAGATGATCCCCCAAACCATCCATATAATGATGAACTCTAGCCCTTATGGTACGTACGATATCTGGTGCATACCTCGCCAAAGAATTAAACTTATGGCTATAATCCCTCACACTCATATCCCCCTGCTTCAGGCTATGAAATTGGTCAAGACGGGCCTCCCGAACCTCCCGTGGCAAATAATGGGCTAAAAAGGCCTCAGAGAAGTCCTCCCACTCTGCTGGCGGAGCATCAAGTCCTCTAGATCTCTCCCATGCCTCATACCATAGGACAGCTACATCACGTAGTCAAAAAGAAGCCAACTACACAGTCTCAGTGACGGAGGCATGCATCGCCCTCAATACTCTATACATTTGGTCTATAAAGTCCTAGGGATCCTTAGTGGAACTGGATCCTGTAAATACTGGAGGGGCCAAGTGAAGAAACTCTCGTACCGTCGAGCTTCCTGTCTGATCTCTCTGGGCATCTGCTTCCGACTCTAACTTCCGCTCATGAATAGAAACCATCCTAGTCAGCAACTGAACTGCCTCCCTCATCTCCTGCTCCCCAATCTCTGATGGCGGAACAACAGGTGCTAGAGGTCCTGTGTCTCTAGCTTCCTCAGGTACTAATGGAACTGGTGAGGTTGGGGGTACTGCATCTCCCTGGGCTCCAACAAGTGCTGGGGAAGCTGAAACTAGGGGTACTGGAGACTCACTGTGTGCCTCTAAAGGAAATCTATCCCTCTGACCCGGTGGAGAATGATTGGTACATTCCCCCGGATCCATACCTATCTCTCGTTGTGCCATCTCTTGAGCGTAGGTAACATGTTAGATAAGAAACACAAAGCACGATTTTGATTTCATATGTTCTTATAACTTCGCTCCATAGCACGATCTATTAATTGAAAGAAACGTAACCATTCCTAGATGCCTCAAAGCCTCCTGATTATAAGTATGATGCACAACACACCCATAAGCAAGACTCTACTAGACACAGCTTGTGGACTCCCTGGGATACGACCTGCTCTGATACCAAGTTTGTCATGCCCCAAACTAGGGGAGGCACAATTGGCACTCGATACTGTATTCGATCAAGTGAGCCACTAAACATACAAGCTAACTAAAATAGGAGCCCAACAGATCGGGCAGTACAACATCTGAAATACTAAACCTGGACCATTAAGGTCATGACCTGAATAACAATAAGCCATATAAATAAAGGTAGACGAGCCAAAATAATAAAGTACTAGCTGGCCGACGAGGCCATGACTGGAGACATACATGCCTATATATATATATATATGCCAAGTCTATGGGCTGGAGACTAGAAGTTGTAAAAAGAAACCTAGAATACTGTGTCCACACTAGCCTCTAAGAGTGTCATAATCATTGTCGAGACAAGGCCCCGACTATACCCAAACTGTACAACAAAAGTAACCATCCTATGAAAACTCCAGGAAGAGGTGGAGCTTACCAACTCATAGTTGAACCCCAAAATCCTAGCGAAAGGGTCGATCAGAGTCCCTACCTGGACCTGCACGCACAAAACAAAAATGCAGTGTCCCCAGGCAACGGGACATCAGTACGAATAAAAATGTACTGGTATGTAAGGCAGAAAGTAGAATCATACATAGCTGATGAAAAAAAGTAATAGAGATACCACTTGACACTGACACTCTGATAGCCTCCATGGCCGACATCAGACCTCATGGTAATCAAATATGCATGGTATGCTCGTGTAATCGTATGTCGTGAATACATATATATTGATGCAAATGCATGACATATCCAACCAAATGCTAGAAATGGCGGTCTCTTCCGGTAGCTAACCGGTATCATATTGCCAACCTGTGGCCATCTGTACAATATATATAGTCTTTCGGGCAAATAGGCCCCTTACCTCCGATTATAGCTCGAAGTTCATGCATAATATGCCATGTATGATATGAACTTTGAATGCATATAATAGTCCATAACAAGAACTTAGCCAACCTTGGCTCATAGGTACTTTTATTCTCATAATCTCATAATCATCTTCGTATCGCATACAGTTGTCTCGTGGAACCTCATATGCTTTCTTTTTTTTTGAATAAGCTTGGAAACTTAACTCGACTTTTAGAAAGATAACTTAACTCTGAAGAGGTTGATAAAAAGCGTAAGGTGCTTCACTTAGTCCTTATACCTGATCTTGATATTTAATAAAAGAAAGTATTTTAAAAAAAATCAAGTGTTTTAGTAGTTTAAACATAAAAATTATATTTGAGATTTTTGGAAATCGACGTGTCACTTTAGAGATTTTAAGATACACTTTAACAAGGGAGAATGACTGATCGCAAATACTAAATGCCTTTATTTTCTAGTTACACAACCCAAAGACGAATAAGAATTCACATATATAGACATATAGTTAAGAAAGTCGACAAAATGACATATATAGATGTCGAATACCCTATTTAACCGAATGAGTGGAATATCAACCTAATAGCATCATGAAAGTACTTCAGCTACGATCCCAATGCCTTTCACAGAAGGTCTTTCTAGCAATAGAATAGTAAAATATCACATTTGACGTCTTAGGAATTTCCCAGAATTTGTGCTAAAAGGAAGGACAGAGCTTAGCCTTAACATACCTTTCCAACGAACGTCCGAATGCCTGTAGTTCCTTCACGAAAGTTGTTCCTTACGTCCTAAGCTTTGAAAATACTATATATATGCAGCTTATACACACCTATAAATAGTTCATAATTGAGTTTAGATCGGCAGATTTGCCATATGACCCTAACTTGACGAAACGTCCGTAGATCTTTGTAAAAGCAATCATAAAAGAGTTCCAAGATGATTACTTTGGCAAACCAAGTATAAAGCTTGAAGAACCAGCAAGAACAACAAATTCCTATCTTCCAAGAATAGCTCCAAACACAGCTAATGGAAGGGGGAAACGATTGCAAAGTGTAGAGATTGAGTTTCTAGGCACGGGGACAAACTTTAACGGTAGAAATCGTTAAAAACGTACCTTAATCACTCAAGACCACCATAGAACCCTCTCTTCAGTTCCCTCACTGTTTTTGGACGAAAATGAAATGTTTTTAGGTCTGAAAAGTCGAATTTTCTGACTTATACTACTTGTTTGACCCGACCCTGTTCGTGACCCGGTTTCTCCCTGGACAGTCCGCGGTAAAACAGTCATAACTTTTTACTCCAATATTGGGTTATGTGAGGTTTTTTTGGTTGCGAACTAGACTCGTAGTCCTTTGATTTGATAGGTTGTGGGTCTCATAAATCATTATATATTGGGAGAAATGATCTGATACATTTGACCCAAAGTTTAGAAAATTTATTAGAGAAATTTACGATAACCTTTGCCGACCTTTATTTCGCAACTTGCTTGATTCCAAAACTTAACATGTGACCCGTGTGATATTATAATACCTCATAACATATTATTCTTAGCATATTAGACACTCTTGGTCTTATCCCACATGTGTAAATTAACTTAAACCTTTCGAACGCGCGGGGTGCCACCCGAGCTATTTCTTTAACCATGAACCTTTGTTTAAGGGATTCTTTTGACCTACAGCTTTAGTTTAGTTCCTTGATATTACCACACATTTTCATTCTTATTCTCCTAATGTGCTACACCCAATCATATATACCTTATATAACCACGTTACGTTACGTATATTACGTAAGAGAAAGAGAAAAAAAACATGGGGTCTCATAAAAATGTCTCTATTTTTTACAGTCCACGAACATAGAAGACCGGGTAAGGAATTTTGTTAACCCAAGAGAAGGTGTTAAGCATTCCTGGGTTTCATGATTTTAGCACGGTCGCTCAACTATTAATAATTAGCGTAATTATTTGATTAATTACATATTTAGAACATATTGTGTATTTTTAAAACTTTTAACCGCTTTTAGTATTTATGAAATTATTTCTGGAACAAGTCACGTTGTCGTACACTTGTCATTTTGGTACACGTTGCAAATCGCGCCACATGAAATGCACCTGCAATTTACGACATGTTTATTTTTATCATTATTTAAAGTTATGGTCGAGTCACGTGAAATGCGCACTCGAATTGGGGATTACGTATCGTGACCATGCCACGGGAACCGTACCCATAGCCACGATAATTCATTTACGCATCTAAAAGTTTGCCAATCCGAGTGTGATCCATTTAAGCATGCTACTATCGATCAAATTCATGAGAGTAAGAATAAAAGAGCAACAAAATTATCTAAGCCCAATTCCCTCCACGTTTTAAATGCTAACTCCCACAACTGAAATAGCTAGAGTTCCATTCAATCTACTTAATTATGTCAATTTGATTCTTTATCATCAAAATGGTAACTGTGAAACCTTAAACAATTATATCTTAATGAAGTAGTGAAACATGGAATCAAAAACTCATTTTAACCATAAAAAACCCATACAAAACATATTTAAACTAAACAACGTACAAACAATAATCATCAACAAAAGCAAATATTACCAAGACATTCAAAAAAAAATAGAACAATGATATATTAACTCATACGATCCACAAACAGAGCAACGATAAATTAACAAAATAATAAGGGTGTGATGTTAAGCAAATAAGAAGTAGAAGGAAATAAGAAATCGACCTCAAACGAATCTGAAGTTAATTGTGCGACAGCTTTGAAACACAAGCGTCAGAACCGCGGACAAGATCTCCACTGGGATGCCTCGCCGGAAACCTCAAGCAAGAAATCGCAATGTACAACCTCAATCAACCTTAAAGATGAAATAGGAATACTGTGGGGCAAGGGAAGTTGGGACTTGGGAAGATTTCCAAACTTTAATGAAGGGAGTTCACTTCAAACGAATTCATATTAAAAATTGAGTTGGTAGGGAACGACGGCTATTAACTGGTTGAAAACAGAAGGAGCAGCTAGGTTAGGAGTCCTCTTGTGTGTCTCTATCCACTTTTGAGAAAAGAAGAATCGACCATCTTTAAAGGGTAGGCACCGTTCTTAGCTTTAGTAATTTCGGAATTGCTTTTTTTCTTTTTGCTTAAGAATTCCGAAAGTCTGCCACAGCTAGGTTAGGAATTAGGTTGTAATGGTTGAAGCTTCTTTCTCTAAAGAAAATGACAATAGAGAGCTCTTTTTTTTGGGAAGTGCCACTGATACCTTTTCAAATCAGAGAATAAGATATATAAAAGATGTAGGGTTTTGGGAGGAGGAAATCTGTTGGTTTTTGGCTATTGGGATCAGGTTTAGCCCAATTTGGGCCATGACTTGGACATCTGAATCAAGCAAGACTTTTAGGAGAACTAGTCCAAATTAAATCTTCTTCCTTTTCTTGGTGACTTTGATTTTCTTTTGTTGATTAATAGATGAGAATAAAAATACTACTCTTAAACTTGAATAGCAAGATAAATTGCTAATCTCTCAAAATTTACTTATCAAACTAATATATTTTTTTTGGAAAATATTTTCTTTCTTTGTAAATGAAGATAAAGCTTATATTAAAAATGTGACTCTTTTTTGTTGTTTTCAATTTTCTTAAGTAAAATATATAAAAGGAGAAATAAGAGCTAAAATATGTAGATTAAACTTAAAATATATTTACATACTAAAAGGTGATGAAAAAAACTCAAATATAGTCTAGGTACTCATAGCTACCCCTCTTTGTTTGAAAACATGAAGAGTTTTCAGGCAAAGACAAAGTGAACAGGGTGACTAATTTTTGACCATATCATTATTCAAAAGAGGAAGAAAATAAAAGAAAAAGGTGCAACCGAGTCCTGGTTTTGGACAGCCTACATATCCCGGGTTATAAGGGAATCAGGTCACGTGTAGTTCAAAAGTGAATGAAGTGATGGAGTATATGGAGAGGATTAGAGTCTCGAGAAGGGTTCCGTCGAGGCTCCGATCCGCAGTTCCTGTTATTACATCAGAATCAAAAAGAACTAAACAAACCTATCAGCTATGAGTTACAAGATTCCTATCTATAAATCTGCTGAAGCTTAATCTTGAGTCTTAAATGGTTCTTCATGCAGACTTTTGATTTGAACCTTGATGCTCGCTAGCTACGGGTGCTAATTCATTCTTCCATATGTTCTTCGGATCAAGACCAGACACGCACTGCTCGTTACTTCAGCCATGTCTTGAGCAGTTCACATCTTTCACATGCTTCTGCATTTTAGATTCACTTTTTTTTCCTTTCTTTTATTCTTGATTGAGACTTATTTTTGGTTATCTCGAACCCTTGTCGACCCGCATTCTTGAGGTGAGCTTCTGCTACTTCTAACTTGAATTGACAATAGGACTGGAGGTTGCCCCTATTCTTCAGGAGGGATCCTGTTGTCTCTGACTAGAACTCGAGATGAATTCCCTCATTCTCCAGGTGGACGCCTACTACTGACTTAAAACTTCAAATGACTCTACAATGAATTCTGAAATGAGTTCCCCCGTTCTCCAGGTGGGCGCCTGCTATGGAATTAAAACTTGAAACTCTTGAAATAAATGCCCTCATTCTCCAGGTGGGCGTCTGATACTACAGCAAAACAGACAAAACAAAGAAACTTTTCTCCCCCAATTTGCACTAGGAAGATTTGTGAGTTACTAGTAGAATTATAAATCACCTATGCTATTGATAAAGGATGCAATGATGAGAGTAAAATTTAAGATATGGCTAGGATGTGCATCTCCTACGAGTAAAACCAAGAAAATTTCGATTAGCAAATGCGTCTGCTAAAAAAAACTGAATGACCCAGACTGGAAGTGGGTCTCCTAGGGGTGAAACTTGAATAATCCAAACTAGGAAGTGCGTCTCCTTGAATGGATCATACTAGAAAGTGCATCTCCTAAGGTGAAATCTTAATTTAGGAAGTGTGTCTCCTAAAAGTATATCCTGAAAGACCCAGACTAGGAAGTGCGTCTCCTAAGGGTGAAACCTTTAACCTAAAATTAGTTAGTGTGTCTCCTATTAAAATCTAAAAACCCCAATCTATAAAGTGCGTCTCCTAGATTTAATATTGAGCTTACGAAAAACTATAAACTAAGCTTGACTACAGTAAAACCTGACCCTATTCTCCAGGCGGGACCACTAATTTCAAGAAAACTGAAGATTGATAACATAAGAAAACTAAAAATTGACCCTTTTTTTCAAATCCATTCCCTTTTTTATTATCCTAGGAGAAAATTCACCAGACTAGGTTTTAATCTTAGGAGAAAGATTCATCACACTAAGACGTTTATCTTAGGAGAAAATTCATCGGACTAGGTTTTCTATCTTAGGAGAAAGATTCATCAGACTAAGATTTTGATCCTAGGAGAAAGTTCATCAGACTTGGTCTCTTTTTTTTGGGGTATCTTAGGAGAAAGATTCACCAGACTAAGATTTCTATCCTAGGAGAAAGTTTATCAGACTAGGTCTTCTATCTAAGGAGAAAAATTCATCAGACTAAGATTTCGATCCTAGGAGAAAATTCATCAGACTAGGTCCTTTTTTTGGTATCTTAGGAGAAAGATTCATCAGACTAAGATTTCTATCCTAGGAGAAAGTTCATCAGACTAGGTCTTCTATCTTAGGAGAAAGATTCATCAAACTAAGATTTCGATCCTAGGAGAAAATTCATCAGACTAGGTCCTTTTTCTTTTTGTTATCTTAGGAGAAAGATTGATCAGACTAAAATTTCTATCCTAGGAGAAAATTCATCAGACTAAGATTTTTATTGGAAGAAAATCCATAAGACTAGAACTTTTTATCCTAGGAGGAAAAATGTGAAGAGCAATGGCAATATTTTATGCACATTAGCAAGACAAATAAAGGCAAAGATTTGAGAAACTTTCCTTTGTCGGCTCTTCTCTTCTCTTTTTTTTAAACCACTTTCCTTGCACTGCATTGTTCCTGTTCAAACAAAGAAAATTTTGTCAGTTTTGAAAGTGGTGGTCAGTTTGTGGCCTTGAGTCTTGAGCAGCTTGACTTTTGCTCAATCAGTTTGAATCGGTCTCAAGAGACTTTTGTTCTGCACAAACTCTGGTTGTTTCACACCCAGTACCATTCGTATTTGTGGCCCAATTAGTCTTATCCCAAATGGAGATCTTTGCTTAGCTGACCTTTTCTGACATCTTGAATGGCTTCTTGCTTTTTGAGCAATTTATTTGTCAGAGAGAATCACAAGTTATCTTTACTTGCGCCAAGTAGGCTGACAAGTGTCTTTTGGGGGGGGGGGAAGCCTTTGCTTGAATCCTCAAGGCATGTTGACTGTAACACTTGAGTGTGCTGGCCAAATTTACTTTGTGCAATCGAAAAATTAGTAGCAGATTTTGAAATCTTTTCTTACTTGTTTTGACAAGGACTGACTCAGAATGATGGGACACAAATGATGCAAAGAAATAATATACAAAGGAATACCTATGTCGGGAAGGACGAAAGGAAGAATTTTTTTATTTTTTATTTTTATTTTTTTACGGTAACTAGCCTTAATGATCATGACATGTATTTTGGACTTAACGGCCTGATCTATCAAATTGACTGAATCTTCCCTTTTACCATTCTTATGACTTTGAAGTCGGGCTTCTTTGTGCCAATCCTTTGCATCAACTTCACGACTCACTTTCGACTAGTGGTGCCCCGGAGAGTTTTCACCGACAACTCTCTCTTATTTATTTATCTCTACTTATCGTCATCTTACACTGCCGTGAGGGTTTTTACTAGTAAGACTCTCTCATTTTTCTTTCTTTTCCTCCTTTTTTTGAGCAACTTGACAGTGTTTTACGTCGTGTAACAACTGTTGCTCATTGCGGATTTCCATTGGCATTCTCAAAACTGATCAGGAGGTCTTGTTTGGGAGTCTTTTGGATATGGTTAGAAAGAAAGGACGACATGAAGGCTCAAAGTAGACTCAATATGATGGGTTGTACACTTACAACTCTTGGAATTGTCTCTTTTAAAAACTAAAACAAACTCATGCCCCAGTTTTGGATACTGTTTTTTTTTCTTTTCCTTTTTTTTATGAATTATTATTTGGTTACGAACCGTGTAAGGCTGCCTACGTATCCTTTTTTGAAGGAATCGGGTCAAACATAGTTCAGACATCTGACCTAACTTTTTTTTAATTCTTTTTTCTGTTTTTTTTTTCTTCTTTTTTTCTTTTGTTTTCAGAACAAGTTTCCCCAACTTCTATTTTCTGGGGGCATGGACTTTTGCCTGTTCTTTTCTTCTTTTTTTTTTATTTGAACTTTCTAAGAGTTTGCCCCAGTTTATACTCTTGGGTCATGGACTTTTCTTTTCATTTTTTTTCATTTCATTTTCTTTTTGGACTTTTAACTCTAAACTTGATTCGAAAAGAGAGTACTCAAAGAAAATAACACATGCTCAAAAGGGGTAATAAAGGGTATAAAGTAGTTGGGTAGCAGAAAAAGGGTCTCCTTGCCTCGAGAATGACAATCATGTTAGCCCTTCAGAATCACGACATTGATGGACATGTTGCTTTCTGAGTGTGTCGTGGTCGAAAGATACTTTCCATCCATTAAGGTCAAAATTTCCACCATTCTTCAATTGATTCTTCCTCAAGCCCGATCTTCACAACTATTTGAAGGTAAAGATCATTAACCTCCACGAGTATGACTATTCAAGTTCCACGTGAATTTTGCTCAAGCTTAATTCCAATTAAAGTAATATTAATTGAAATGAGATTATTTATTTAATCAAAGTCGCTACTTGGGATAATTTATGGTGTCCCAAGTCACCGGTTTATTTTAAATCCCAAATCGAGGAAAATGACTCTATTTTTTACGGTCCGCGAACATAGGAGGTCGAGTAAGAAATTCTGTTAACCCGGGAGAAGGTGTTAGGCATTTCTGGGTTTCGTGATTTTAGCACGATTGCTCAACTATTAATAATTGGCGTAATTATCTGATTAATTACATATTTAGAACCTATTGTGCATTTTTAAAACTTTTAACCGCTTTTAGTATTTATGGAATTACTTCTAGAAAAAGTCACGATGTCGTACACTTGTCGTTTTGGTACACGTTGCAAACCGCGCCACATGAAATGCAACCGCAACTTACGACATATTTATTTTTATTATTATTTGAAGTTATGGTCGAGTAGCATGAAATGTGCACTCGAATTGGGGATTATGTATCGTGACCATGCCACGAGAATAGTACCCATGGCCACGATAATTTATTTACGCACCTAAAAGCTTGCCTATCCGACTGATCGGCCTAAGCATGCTA